CTTGATACTGGTATAGGTAAGGCAAGTCGCTTACCTTATTCTAAGGGCTTTCCTGTCTTTCAGTTGAAAGCTCACAAGGATAAATCCCGGAAGTCGAAGTCGGAAGAGGATCTGATTTCGGAGCTAACACCGTTCGTAAAGAGAGTATGAAATTAAGATGCTAAGCCGTTCGCGTCTTCAAGGGGAGATTTTTATAAGCTCACCGGCAAAGCCGTGCGTTCCTTTGCTTTCTTTTATTATACGATAATAGCACTCGAAAATCCCACTAACAACCTATTCTATACCAGCAGATGAAATAACTGCTTATTCTTGAACAAGAACCATGGCATGAGATGCCTCTTCCTTCGGCGAGTAGGGGGATTTCTTTTAGCACAACCAATTTATAGCCCAAGGAAAGGAAGAAGGGAGGAACAAAGCCTTCTTGACTTAAGCTGACAGACCTTTTCCCATGTCAGTGCACCCATCTGTATCCACTTCGTCCAATGCAAGAGATTCTTCTTATTCTTCCGCGGCAGGAGATTAATTACTTTTGCGTGGGGCCTAAAAGCAGCTATATATAGGTCTGGTGCTTCATCTTGCAAATGAAAGGCTTTTTCAACTGAATCAACCGGCAGGGCAGGCTGGAGGGGATCATCCCCCTTTTATTTATGATTCTTCCTCTTCTTTCTCATATCGAGACTCTAAGGCAAAGACTTCTCTTCAAAGAGAAGCTTATGAAGGCCTTTAATCACTTTCTGGTAGTAGGAAGGAGAAAGAACAGTTATTGGTAGCTACTGATTCCATTGGCGGATAAACTTTCCGGGGTTCCACTTTAAGGATAAAGAACTGGGCTAAGGTAGCTAAGAAGGTGGGCCTGACAGCGCTTGTCGTGGGTAACCGGGAATGATCGAGTAGATTGTGCAGCTTGTAAATGATGCTTGCTTCATAGAATATCGGTTAAGGTAAGGCCTATTTGGGCTACTATAAGGAGAAGCAATATAAAGGAGGTTTCCCTCGCGACACTGAAAGGGGTATTCGGAGTTTGATTAGAGGTGGTACCCGGTTAGGAACCCTTCTCTATTCAGTGCTCTATCCCCACTTATTATAACTCTTGCGCTAGTCCTAATTAGGAGAGTTCGATAAGCTTTTCACTCCTAACCACAAGTCATCCAACAAAGCAATCCTTTACTTTATATAAAGAAAGGGTTCGGTCCTCCACTAGGTATTACCCTAAATTTAACCCGCTTATGGTTAGCTCACCGAGTTTCGGGTGAGCGTCTTCAAACCTTCACTGAAGGCTTTGTTCTAACAAGATTCTAGGAAAATGCCTTCTATCGCCTTATTGAAGATTCCGCGAGACACCTCGGCCTTAGTTAGCCCGAAAGCGTCTTCTCTTATATCAAAAGGTAAAGAGTTCCCTAGCGGTACATCTTAATGAAAGACTTGAGCATAACTGTCAATCCTCCCATCCGCTAACGCCTGGTCGACCTCTCCTGATGTATCTGTCAGTGAAGGAAGCATCCATGAGTTGTGCCCTTGGTCAGCACGATGAAACGGGTAGGAAAGAAAGAGCCATATACTATCTCAACAAGAAGTTCACTGATTATGAGGCAAGGTATAAGGTTCTAGAAAATACCTGTTTAGCTCTTACATGGGCCTCGAAAGGCCTATACCACTACATGTTGAACTATACGACCATGCTGATTGCAAGGATGGACCCGCTGAAGTATCTATTATAAAAGACAGCCTCACGGGCGTTGCGTCCAAATGGTAGATGGAGCAGGACCGCTCTCATGTCCGCAAATGGAAGCATCTTGCTGATGCTTTCCTCACCTCAAGCAGTACAAGTACAATCTTGATACGGCTCCTGATGGCATGGGGCTTCAAAGCATGGAGAAGAAGAGCACGGAGATTTTAAAAGAAGATGCCCAAGGATGGATAGAAATGGCTGCCCAAGTCCTGCCTCCCTTGACTGAAAAAGAGATGGTGGCCACCTTTCTCACTACTCTCCCTTCTCCTTTCTACGATCGCATGGTTGGCAATCTTTCCACACATTTTGCTGCCCTTGTGATGATCGGAGAGAAGAGAAGATTGAGCAAGGTGTGAAGAGCAGTCAAATTGCTGATAGCTCGACAGAAGCCTCCAAGAAGTCCACTTATGGGAATAAGAGAGAAGGAGAGGTGCAGTAGGTCAATCACGATAGACAGGCTAGAAGAAGGCCTCGTCCCATTTCAAGCAGTAAGCCTCAATCAATCCAACCAAGCCAAAGAGCACCAGTATATCAGACTCAGCAATAGCACCCATACCCAGTTCCTTTCCCATATGTAGCCAAGACATCTAATCTGACCTATGCCTATCCATTCCCTTCACAGCCTTTACGTTTACTTGGTCTCTAGTTCAGAAATAATTAAGTACATGTTGTCCAGACCAAAGGGTGAGTAGGAAAGTGGACGTTGGTACTTTTTTTCTATACAATACGTACCCCGAAAGGAAGTAAAAGGGAAAACACTGGCCGATTTGATGGATCACCTGAGCATAGATATATCCCCTTCATATCAAGACCGACTTGATGTTTAAGTAGAAGCTTTGTCCCTACGACCAGTCTTCTGCTTTTGAACCTGAGACCCGACCCGACACTTTGAATAGTAATCAGCTCCATTTGCGGCACATGCTTGATGGGTGCATGCACTTGGCACTTTTCACATTTTAACACCAGCTCATACGCATCTCTGTACATGGTCGGCCTGTAATACCCAAGCCGAATAGCCTTCTTTGCTAACATGCGTGCTCCAACATGGTCTCCGCAGGAGCCGAAGTGAATTTCTTTCAACACGTATTCTGCCAGCCTCAGCCCAACACACCTTAGCCAAGGCATGAGATAAGATTTCTTGTACAAAACACCATTTTTCAGCACGTACATAGGAGCTTTGATTTTCATTTTCCTTGCCTCAGGCAACTTACCCGAACTGAGATACTCAATAAAGAGGTTCATCCAGTTCTTTTCTTCTTATGAAATTATGTTAACATGATGTTCATCAATAATACTCCGCCCTGCCAGAACTTTCACCAAAACTTTCCTTGTCAAGTGTGCGTAGGCAGAGGAGGCTAGCTTGCTCAGGGCGTCTGCCCTTTTATTCTGAGATCGGGGAATGCGGTCTATGGTAAATTCTTCAAACTCAGCCATCAAATCTTGAACTTTTTGGAGGTACCTTTTCATCATGAGGTCTTTTGCTGCGTAGCCCCCCATTACTTGATTTACTACGAGCTGAGAGTCACTGTAAGCCCGTAACTTGGTTACCCCCATTTTCAAGGCCAATTTCAGTCCGGCAATGAGCGCTTCATACTCCGCTTCGTTGTTTGAGGCTTTGAACTCAAAACGGAGTGCATAGGTGAGCTCGTGCCCATCCGGACTGATCAAAATGAATCCAGCACCCGCTCCCTACTTCTTTTTTCTTTCATGCTACGGCTGCTTCTTTCATCCTGAAGACGAGGCTGGTTGTAAAAGGATATGCACAGCGATATGGTGTAGATTACACAGAAGTGTTTGCTCCAGTGGCCCGTATGGAGACTGTTCGTTTGGTGATCGCTCTAGCAGCACAAAAAGGGTGGGCTATCCATCAATTAGATGTGAAGTCTGCTTTTTTACATGGAGAACTAGTTGAAGATGTTTTTGTTGAGCAGCCGTGTGGTTACATTCAAGAGGGAAAGAAGGAAAAGGTGTACAAGCTGAAGAAAGCTCTGTATGGGCTTAAACAGGCTCCGCGTGCTTGGTACAACCGTATTGAAACATACTTCATGAAGGAAGGTTTTCAAAAATGTGATTATGAGCATACCCTTTTTGTTAAACGAAACATGGAGGCAGCATGCTTATTGTAAGTATATATGTTGACGATCTTCTTTTCACAGGAAATGATGAGTTGATGTTCACTGAGTTTAAGAACTCGATGAAGAATGAGTTTGATATGACTGATCTTGGTAAAATGAAATATTTTTTGGGTCTCGAAGTCTTGCAGAAATCAGGTGGAATTTTTATCGGTCAAAGAAAGTATGCTCAGGAGGTGTTGCAACGTTTTGAAATGAATCAAAGCAAATCTGTTCAAACTCCCATGGTTCCTGGTTTCAAGCTTTGCAAGGATGAAGAAGGAATTAAGGTGGACAAGACTCACTTCAAACAACTGGTAGGCTGTCTTATGTATCTGACTGCGACTCGTCCAGATGTGATGTTTGCAGTAAGTCTTTTGAGCAGATATATGGAGAATCCTACTCAGCTTCATTTACAACTAGCAAAGAGAGTGTTGAGATATTTGCAAGGAACAACTGAGTATGGAATTTTCTATAAGAAGGGAGGAAATGATGATCTTATAGCATACACTGATAGTGATTATGCGGGTGACTTGGATGATAGAAGAAGTACATCAGGCTATGTTTTTCTCTTTGGTTCTGGAGCTGTATCATGGTCTTCTAAGAAACAACCTATTGTGAGTCTGTCTACCACCGAAGCTGAGTTTATTGCTGCTACTGCTTGTGCTTGTCAAGCAATTTGGTTAAAAAGAGTGCTCAAAACGCTGGATCAGACTCAACAAGAGAAAAATACTATCCATTGTGACAATAGCTCTGCAATCGAGCTCTCAAGAAACCCAGTTATGCATGGTCGTAGCAAGCATATAGATGTTCGTTTCCATTTCCTTCGAGAACTTGCACAGATAGGTATGATAGAATTAGTTCATTGCAATACTTTGGAACAGATAGCTGATGTGATGACAAAGCCTCTTAAGTTGGATGCTTTTCTGAAGCTGCGTACTATGCTTGGAGTTTGTGCAGAGAGCAGTATAAACTAAATTCTTTCAGCATTTAGTTTAAGAGAGGAATTGTTAGATTTAGTCAAATAAAATCCCATTCCATTTGGGATTCTTTGCTTTAGAATAGGTCTTTCGGTTTAGGAGTTAGTTAGCAGGAGACTCCTTATTTATTGTATTTTCTGTTTGTTTTGTACGGCTATATATAGCCTAAATATTTCTCATTCAATAGACAGAGAATTCCTTCCACCTTCTTTCTTTCCTCTGCAATACTCTTTCCTGTTTGTCTTTGCACTCCATGTTCCCACGTCCTCTTCCTTGTCCTGCATATTGGTTTCCATGGGTCACCTTCAGTGCACGTTCTTCATGTATAGTGTTACTCATGCGTTGTTCGTGCACGAGCAAACTGCTTTGCAGCTCATCAATTGACAAAATTCTTGTATCATTAGATTCTTCTATTGAACAGACGACATAATTGAACTTAGGTGTCATTGACCTCAGAATCTTTTCCACAACAGCAACATCTTTCAATTCTTCACCATTGGCTTTCATCTTGTTGGTGATGACAAGAACACGAGCAATGTACTCATTCACAGATTCTCCTTCCTTCATGTGAGCAATTTCATACTCCTTTCGCAATGCCTGTAGATGAGCACGCTTTACTCGCGTTGTTCCTTGATATTTCTGCTTCATAGAGTCCTAAATACTCTTTGACGTGTCTTTGTTGACGATAGTCTCCAAAATGGAACGATCTAACGCCTGAAACAGGTAGTTCTTAGCTTTGAGACTCCCATTTGGCCTATTCAAGGAACAGGAATTAGCCTATTCTTACCACCGGGGTCCCCTCCAGCTTACCCACCCACCGTACGTAAACGGATTACTAACTGAACTCATATCCCTTCGATCGATGGACCATAGACCGGAGGCAGAACGAGCCAACATTGACCAGCTGCGTGAAGTACCTGAATTGGTTACTTCAATGTACGAGAAGATGAGCGCTTCAACAGCAGCCTCCTTTGCAGCAAGCTTTGTCAGCATCCTTTCTTTCCACGTGATGTGAGATGCAAGACTTTCATGGCCTTCCCTCTCTTTCTTTAGAAGAGGGTTTGTGCCATGATAAACATGCTTTGATTGCACTATATTCTAATCTTTTTCTTCACGCTGGACGTGGTTTTTCTTTGAACAAGCCTTGTGACTCTTGTTACTACAGCTTGTTACTAAAGAATGCCATACTATCGAAGCGAGATGAAGTAAGGGAAGAGTTCCGACAAAGCGATTGATGAGTACGGGGCAGGACCAAAACTAACAGGGGGACGTAGGACATCTTTATTTAAAGGAAGAACTAAAAGCTAGAAGAAAGATAACCGGGAATCGAACTAATGGCCGTAGATGTGGGTATCCTCTTCTACTAATGATATTCTTGTAAGGGACATTGGCAGGCTTCATTCCTAGCATCCATGCGTGTTTTACTATTTATTTAGAAAGGCTGCTTTTAGCTCTTTTCACGACTCTGTTGCTATGGAATCCGCCTCGAACACTTTCCTGACAAAAACTTTGCTTGATTAGGGATTAGGCTTAGGGAAGGTTTAGCCTAGAAAAAAGAAAGGAACTTCAATCTCGCCGATTGTCCTTTCAATGGGACATGAAACTGAATGCACTCGTTAGGATAAATACCCAGCACCTTGGGCTGAGAAAGAGCTCGTGAGTGAGGTAGCGAAGCTATTAGCTAAGCTATACGCTACCTTACCTTATGTAGATGGCCGATCTAGAGTACGTTGCTTTTTAGACAACGACCCCTCCCTCACAGGGTCATCCAAACCCTGTAAAGAGACTAAGAAGTCTGTGCCAGTATACCCGTCAAGAAGATAACCCCCTAAAAGGGGCTCAAAGGAAGGCAACACTTCAGGACGATAGTCCAAGCCCATTTCTTAGACTAAATCGTAACACTTCCACATTAGACCAAAACGGATAAGATTTCCATCCTTCCGAGATGAATTCCGATTCTTGATACTGGTATAGGTAAGGCAAGTCGCTTACCTTATTCTAAGGGCTTTCCTGTCTTTCAGTTGAAAGCTCACAAGGATAAATCCCGGAAGTCGAAGTCGGAAGAGGATCTGATTTCGGAGCTAACACCGTTCGTAAAGAGAGTATGAAATTAAGATGCTAAGCCGTTCGCGTCTTCAAGGGGAGATTTTTATAAGCTCACCGGCAAAGCCGTGCGTTCCTTTGCTTTCTTTTATTATACGATAATAGCACTCGAAAATCCCACTAACAACCTATTCTATACCAGCAGATGAAATAACTGCCTATTCTTGAACAAGAACCATGGCATGAGATGCCTCTTCCTTCGGCGAGTAGGGGGATTTCTTTTAGCACAACCAATTTATAGCCCAAGGAAAGGAAGAAGGGAGGAACAAAGCCTTCTTGACTTAAGCTGACAGACCTTTTCCCATGTCAGTGCACCCATCTGTATCCACTTCGTCCAATGCAAGAGATTCTTCTTATTCTTCCGCGGCAGGAGATTAATTACTTTTGCGTGGGGCCTAAAAGCAGCTATATATAGGTCTGGTGCTTCATCTTGCAAATGAAAGGCTTTTTCAACTGAATCAACCGGCAGGGCAGGCCGGAGGGGATCATCCCCCTTTTATTTATGATTCTTCCTCTTCTTTCTCATATCGAGACTCTAAGGCAAAGACTTCTCTTCAAAGAGAAGCTTATGAAGGCCTTTAATCACTTTCTGGTAGTAGGAAGGAGAAAGAACAGTTATTGGTAGCTACTGATTCCATTGGCGGATAAACTTTCCGGGGTTCCACTTTAAGGATAAAGAACTGGGCTAAGGTAGCTAAGAAGGTGGGCCTGACAGCGCTTGTCGTGGGTAACCGGGAATGATCGAGTAGATTGTGCAGCTTGTAAATGATGCTTGCTTCATAGAATATCGGTTAAGGTAAGGCCTATTTGGGCTACTATAAGGAGAAGCAATATAAAGGAGGTTTCCCTCGCGACACTGAAAGGGGTATTCGGAGTTTGATTAGAGGTGGTACCCGGTTAGGAACCCTTCTCTATTCAGTGCTCTATCCCCACTTATTATAACTCTTGCGCTAGTCCTAATTAGGAGAGTTCGATAAGCTTTTCACTCCTAACCACAAGTCATCCAACAAAGCAATCCTTTACTTTATATAAAGAAAGGGTTCGGTCCTCCACTAGGTATTACCCTAAATTTAACCCGCTTATGGTTAGCTCACCGAGTTTCGGGTGAGCGTCTTCAAACCTTCACTGAAGGCTTTGTTCTAACAAGATTCTAGGAAAATGCCTTCTATCGCCTTATTGAAGATTCCGCGAGACACCTCGGCCTTAGTTAGCCCGAAAGCGTCTTCTCTTATATCAAAAGGTAAAGAGTTCCCTAGCGGTACATCTTAATGAAAGACTTGAGCATAACTGTCAATCCTCCCATCCGCTAACGCCTGGTCGACCTCTCCTGATGTATCTGTCAGTGAAGGAAGCATCCATGAGTTGTGCCCTTGGTCAGCACGATGAAACGGGTAGGAAAGAAAGAGCCATATACTATCTCAACAAGAAGTTCACTGATTATGAGGCAAGGTATAAGGTTCTAGAAAATACCTGTTTAGCTCTTACATGGGCCTCGAAAGGCCTATACCACTACATGTTGAACTATACGACCATGCTGATTGCAAGGATGGACCCGCTGAAGTATCTATTATAAAAGACAGCCTCACGGGCGTTGCGTCCAAATGGTAGATGGAGCAGGACCGCTCTCATGTCCGCAAATGGAAGCATCTTGCTGATGCTTTCCTCACCTCAAGCAGTACAAGTACAATCTTGATACGGCTCCTGATGGCATGGGGCTTCAAAGCATGGAGAAGAAGAGCACGGAGATTTTAAAAGAAGATGCCCAAGGATGGATAGAAATGGCTGCCCAAGTCCTGCCTCCCTTGACTGAAAAAGAGATGGTGGCCACCTTTCTCACTACTCTCCCTTCTCCTTTCTACGATCGCATGGTTGGCAATCTTTCCACACATTTTGCTGCCCTTGTGATGATCGGAGAGAAGAGAAGATTGAGCAAGGTGTGAAGAGCAGTCAAATTGCTGATAGCTCGACAGAAGCCTCCAAGAAGTCCACTTATGGGAATAAGAGAGAAGGAGAGGTGCAGTAGGTCAATCACGATAGACAGGCTAGAAGAAGGCCTCGTCCCATTTCAAGCAGTAAGCCTCAATCAATCCAACCAAGCCAAAGAGCACCAGTATATCAGACTCAGCAATAGCACCCATACCCAGTTCCTTTCCCATATGTAGCCAAGACATCTAATCTGACCTATGCCTATCCATTCCCTTCACAGCCTTTACGTTTACTTGGTCTCTAGTTCAGAAATAATTAAGTACATGTTGTCCAGACCAAAGGGTGAGTAGGAAAGTGGACGTTGGTACTTTTTTTCTATACAATACGTACCCCGAAAGGAAGTAAAAGGGAAAACACTGGCCGATTTGATGGATCACCTGAGCATAGATATATCCCCTTCATATCAAGACCGACTTGATGTTTAAGTAGAAGCTTTGTCCCTACGACCAGTCTTCTGCTTTTGAACCTGAGACCCGACCCGACACTTTGAATAGTAATCAGCTCCATTTGCGGCACATGCTTGATGGGTGCATGCACTTGGCACTTTTCACATTTTAACACCAGCTCATACGCATCTCTGTACATGGTCGGCCTGTAATACCCAAGCCGAATAGCCTTCTTTGCTAACATGCGTGCTCCAACATGGTCTCCGCAGGAGCCGAAGTGAATTTCTTTCAACACGTATTCTGCCAGCCTCAGCCCAACACACCTTAGCCAAGGCATGAGATAAGATTTCTTGTACAAAACACCATTTTTCAGCACGTACATAGGAGCTTTGATTTTCATTTTCCTTGCCTCAGGCAACTTACCCGAACTGAGATACTCAATAAAGAGGTTCATCCAGTTCTTTTCTTCTTATGAAATTATGTTAACATGATGTTCATCAATAATACTCCGCCCTGCCAGAACTTTCACCAAAACTTTCCTTGTCAAGTGTGCGTAGGCAGAGGAGGCTAGCTTGCTCAGGGCGTCTGCCCTTTTATTCTGAGATCGGGGAATGCGGTCTATGGTAAATTCTTCAAACTCAGCCATCAAATCTTGAACTTTTTGGAGGTACCTTTTCATCATGAGGTCTTTTGCTGCGTAGCCCCCCATTACTTGATTTACTACGAGCTGAGAGTCACTGTAAGCCCGTAACTTGGTTACCCCCATTTTCAAGGCCAATTTCAGTCCGGCAATGAGCGCTTCATACTCCGCTTCGTTGTTTGAGGCTTTGAACTCAAAACGGAGTGCATAGGTGAGCTCGTGCCCATCCGGACTGATCAAAATGAATCCAGCACCCGCTCCCTACTTCTTTTTTCTTTCATGCTACGGCTGCTTCTTTCATCCTGAAGACGAGGCTGGTTGTAAAAGGATATGCACAGCGATATGGTGTAGATTACACAGAAGTGTTTGCTCCAGTGGCCCGTATGGAGACTGTTCGTTTGGTGATCGCTCTAGCAGCACAAAAAGGGTGGGCTATCCATCAATTAGATGTGAAGTCTGCTTTTTTACATGGAGAACTAGTTGAAGATGTTTTTGTTGAGCAGCCGTGTGGTTACATTCAAGAGGGAAAGAAG